GGAGTTTGGAATGATTGATACTACTCAACTTACTGTATAATGTATGTCTTATTGTGTCTTTGTGTTGGTAATTTCAATTGACTCCTTACCAATATTCAGAATCAACTTCCCCTCGGTGTTTCTGATTTTGTTTTCATTTCCAGCACTGTATTCATTTTTAAATTTTGTAGATAAATTGGATGCAACTTTTTCATTAACTAATGTCAAACCGTAATCACATGAATTTTTTTTATTTATTTATTAGGGAAAAATGTATACAGGTGTCCCTGGAGATACGAATGGGTTAGGTTCCCCCCCAAAAATATTCGTTATGTGAATTTACGTATCACGAATGAAAGGACAATGGAAAAATTAGGGTTCGCTTCCCCAATGACGAAAATTCCCCAATATCATACCCCCCAAAAACATGAAATTGGTTCATAAACAAGAACAAAACCTACCTAATTAGTGATAAATAGTACACAACTACTCTAATTTATGGCCTAACACATGAAATTACAACCTAAAACATGAAGAAGAAAAATGCTCAACTTTGGGACATTACTGCAAGATGGTCGCGTCTGCTAACTCCTGAAGCGTTTGTCAAAAAAACAGACTTCTTTAACAATTATTCCACTCTATATAAATGATGTGACTTAGAAATAAAGAAAATATAATAAAACTATAAAATTTGAAAAATGAAGAGCATGGGTGTGTATGTGTGAGAAGTGAACGTGTGTGTGGAGGCAATTATAGCCAAGGCCTTGGCTATACCTGTATCGCCAAATTTTCAGCCTAGCCACCTCGTATATTGTTACTTGTAATGAAACTATTAAAGTGGCGGAAAAATCATTGTAATACTTTAATGTGGCTTAGAAATATGGAAAATATAATATAAAACTATAAAATAAGAAAAATGGAGAACAAATGTGGGATGTAAATGTGTTATGAGATGGTGGGTTAGTGGGCTATAAATATATGGCAGTGCTCCATCCCGACGTGACATCATGGTATTCACACCACCTGCGGCCACCACACATCTGTGAGTCAGCTGGGTGACTGCCTGAACTGTTTCGTGGGATGAATGGATGGGAGGTTTGCTTGTGGAAGAACTTATTCTTTGTACTTAAAACAATATGTACTGTACCAGTAAATCTGAAGAATAAAAAAGCATGTTAATAATAAATAAAAGAAACACTACTGTGTTGCCATTTGGCAGGAGATGGGGAGACAGTAGAGCACTGAGTGGGTGATGGAATCCCAGCCATAGCTTTCTCCCTCCCATCCTTGGTACTTGCTTCTACATACACATAATGTTTAATTCCTTTATGTTTATGACTTTAAGATAATTATTTTATAATTTTTTGGCACATTCTGTATGAAGATTGTGTGTGCATGTAACCGTATAAAAAAAAATACTTATATATACCTACAAATACGAGTTGAAAATAACAGTAAGACAACTCACAGCATAGCTGAAAGCTGAGATAGTGACTCTGCACACCCCCTTCTGCAGAACTACCCCTCCCACGAGTCCCAGGGACTTAAAAACATTTTATTCACTTTGTTTTTTACTGTATAATTATTAAAAAAATAAATTTGCTCATTCTGTATGAAGATTGTATGTGCATGTAACAGAGTAAAAAAAAGTGAATGAAATTTACAGCAAACTTTCGATAACTCGGGACATATGGGGCTCTGGCCTTGCCGAGTTATCCCAAATTCCGACTTATCAAGGCACCTTCCTCCCCCATCTCACAAAAATACACAAAAAAATTATTGACCTACAGGTATATATGTGTACTGTATATGTAATTACTAAACATAAAAAAAAGTAACACTTACCAGCACTGCAGGCAAAGAATGAAGCACCATAGTAGGTGACACAGAGGCATGGTAGGTGACAGGTGGCCAGATATGTCAAGATTTTCCCAGATAATTTTATATATTTCGGCATTTGCCAAGTTATACCATAAAGCATTCCGAGACCCTATCCATGCCGAGTTATATGAAATTCCGAGTTATCAAATGCCAAGTTATTGAGGGTTTACCGTATGTACATCTACCCGAAAATACGAGTTGAAAAATATAAATAACACAATTCTCGGCTTCGCCCATTAGGGGGAGGATATCACCAACATCCGCACCTCCCTCATTGCGCCTCTCCTACACTACACACTTACTACCTAACACATGAAATTGCTACCTAACATATAAGAAGAAAAAAAGAAAGAAAATACTGTACAGGGGGTCCCCGGGTTACTCACAGGTTCATTTCTTGAGGACATTCTTAAGTCTGATACGTACATACATAAGTCGGAACACATGCTATGTGCATACTGCACTTGTTTTTGTTTCGGGGAATAGCCCATCTGAGCACAGGTCATCGACTCACAACTGGGCCTAGGGGGCGAAAAAATAAGAGTACTGTAAAAAGAAATTAAAAATAGAAGAAAAAAAAGGATTATATAAATCTACACCACGAAGATGCCGGAAAACCAGCTTTTTAAAGTGAGATAGATTGTATGAGTGTGGAAACACAGAAGAAGGCAGAGCATTCCACAGTTTGGCTGTGTGAGGAAATAAGGATGTACTACAACGGGTTATTCTAGTGTGACCAACAGCCACAGAGAAACTGTGGGCACCGCGCGCAAGACGAGTGTTACGAGTCCACTGCCTTGCCGGTGGTACACAGGATGCCAAATCCACCGAACAATGCCCGTTAAAGTACCTGTAAAAGAGAGAGAGTGAAGCAACATTGCAGCGAAGAGAAAGGGAAGAAAGATTACCAACTAAAGGAGGAGAGTCAATAAGACAAAATGCCTTTGATTCCACCCTATCTAACAGTTGGACAGAAGAAGAGCCACCCCAGAACAATGTTTAAAATCCCACTATATCATAGCCTAAGTCCTTATATACATCTAAAATAACTTAATTTAAGAGAAAAGATGAATTAGAATTACAGAATATAGTAAATGAAAGTAAAAAATAAGTCATCGGGTAAATAAGATACTGTAAATTTGAAGTTTAATCACGTTCGTATCAGTGGGCGTTCGTAAGTCAGACGTGCATAAGTCGGGGACCCCCTTTATAACTTTGGTACATTACCTTATGAGAAGGCAGTCTGGGTTCACCACAAGAAGGTGGGCTGAGTAAGAGCCTAACTCTGTGCATCTCTCCCCAAGATGGGCACTCCAGCTGACTCCTGGCATGCGATTTGAAGTTTTGCCCGGACCCAAATTCGTATAAGCTGGGGAAGCTTTCGTATCTCAAAAGAGTGGTGTCGGTATAGGAAATTTGTATAAGCGAATTTTTGTATCTAGAACGTTCATATCACGAGGGATACCTGTACAGTATATGATGACAGAGAGCAAGCGATGGGAAATAACATTTTGTAATCCAGAGGGAGAAATGATGAGAGGGTGATTATGTGTTTTATCAAGTAGAACTTAACATTGTAATGGTCATTGTTTATTGTTTAAGGTAAAGGTTAGCATTAGGAAAGATATTCTAACATTTTGAAGTTAGCACAAGTGGTCATATATATGATCAAGTCCTAGTTTCACTTTTTCCTTCTCCCCTCAGTTACTGACAGCCCAGGAAGTTTTTATAAAGACAGTAATATCAGTACAAAAGGAAGTGCGGATCATCTGTGATTTTTTTTTTATGACTGAAGAAGAAAGAGATGGCCCATAGCTACAGTGTGGTCTGTACAGAATATTTATAACTCAACCGACAGCATCAGGCATGTACGGTATAGTTCTGGTGTCGCATATCACTGACGGCTTGAGATGGGATAGGTATAGCCTCCATCTCTTTGTTTGGATATATGTGAGTCAGTTGTTTTTTAAAAGAAGCCATTGGGGGCATAATTATACTGTACTAGTATTGGCTCAAACTAGATATCAGTCACATACAGTATTACGGTACCTCCTCTGTAAAAATTTGAAACTTGGGTGAGTGAACTACAGCCACCACACACATTATTGTTATTGTAGTTGAGGCTTTAGGATGATGCAGTTGATATAAATCTAGTGGTCTAGTGCTGATAACCACATAAGAAACAAGAAAACACCAAGTTTCCAAGTGCTTTCATGTAATTCACATCTTTAGGGGTGAGTACAGACTAAGGAGTAATTACTGACAAGGCTAATATATGCAGTAAAGGAGAGTGAGATCAAGTCCCTAAGGACAGCAAGTGTCCACCATATTCAGTTCAAAAGGTGAAAGGGTTGGGTCACTCACCTTTACATGAGCACTTGGAAACTTGGTGTTTTCTTGTTTCATATGTGGTTATCAGCATATACTTAGATAGTGCTCACCTACAGTGAATTAATTGCATATAAATAAATAACTATATATATATATATATATATATATATATATATATATATATATATATATATATATATATATATATATATATATATATATATATATATATATATATATATCTTTGTATTTTGTGCTTCATTTTTTCAGTTAATCATTGGATGCTCAATAGAAGTTTTACAAATCATTACAGTACCTGCCTTGGCATGAACAGTGGTAGTCAATTAGTCTTCCTTAATTTGAATGAACAAATTTCATACTTTAAATATTCCATTACAAAGACAAAAACTTAAAGGGATTCAGTAGTAACCATATAGTATTGACTTCATTACCTCGGGTGTCACTAATAAAATGGTTGAACAGTATTTTCCTCTATATCAAATAAAGTAACGGAACCTTCAGTGTTATTAGAGATCTTCTCTCCAAAATTGTAAAACTAAAACCTCATTCTTAACCATTTATTATTGTATATGATTATATACTCTCATTTCTGTAATACTGTACTTTACTTGTACATTGATTTTTTTGCTTTCAGAGCAAGTTAATCTATGTTCGCCAAATCTTTAAGTTGCTATTTTTCTCCATACGTTCAAGTGTCAAAACATCAGAAATTCTTTAAACCTTATTACTTGAACTTTTTTCATTAATATGTTGTTTAGATAAAACAGATTTCATCATTTTTGTCTCAGCATGAAACGATGAGACTACATGACGAGGATGCATCTGGCATCTTCCAGATGTGTGTGGGTCTCTTAGTAGACTTAAGTCTTGTAAGTACAATAAGCCCTCGTTTTTTAATAACTTTTTTAAACTTGGTGGAAATGCTTTTCCAGGTAAGATCTTGGACAGAATTACATTTTATTGTTCTTGAATATTAATGATCTCTCTGGAATTACCAAATTATTAATTGTGCCACATTTTGTGCAATTATTTGATTATCACATTGATATGTAAGCGTATGATATGTAAACGCTTGAATGGAATATAATTTGAAACCCATTCCATGACTGGGCTGGAGTGTTATCTGACTCCCAAGATTTTCGAGATTTTTCTTTAATTTTGCTGAGACGTTTTCTTTGTGCTGTGTCAAAATGCTTACTTTTATTCAGACTCATAAACAAGACCTTAAATGCAATGATCAGATATGTAAACCAGTATTGTAACACAGATATAGCACACATTAAAACCAGGGATGTAGATGAGACCAAGACCACAAACTAGACCATTTGCAATTTTAGCATTTATGGATCACATGAATATTAGCCCCCCCTCCCCACCAGATAGTTTTGGGATGGGTAAATTTCAGGTTGATTAAGCTGGGTTGAAGAGGTGGCTTAATCTTCAAGTAACTCATAAAGGCTGAAATATGAGCGGTCTGTTTCAAATTTTCGGTCTCGATTACATCACTGATTAAAACACAATTTCAACTCTAAATGAAAAATCCCTGGATCTCATATGCTGGTTACTAAACTTTGAACAAACTATTTTCTGTATCATTCTTACTGTTTTAGGCATTCAAAGTAGGAAGCATGCAGAATTCTGCAGTTACTTCTCAGACCATCTTAATACCTTCAGTTTATTGGTGAGGCAACTTATTTATTGATGCGGCTATTGTAGTTAAAGACAGTGGATTTAGCACTTGAAATTTTTAGTGAAGGGGATAGTAAAAAATACTTAAAGCCAGGAGTAGATACCTTTGACAGATTAAGGTATGACATGAGAAAGTACAGTAATACAGTGAGTTCTGCTATAGCGCGTGTTTTGACATTGCGAATTGGCTCTAACGCGATTTATGAATAGAGGAACGATATTTGTAAAACGCGAACGCTTGTTTGCTGTAATGCGATTTTTGCTTACTATTTCTCCAATTTTGTGGTATTAACTGTGAATATGGTAAAGAAGAATATCTCCAAGAAGCGTTCTGGTGATCGCATTCCCGGTGATGATAGTAAAAGAAAGGCAATAACCCTTGAAGAGAAGCTCGATGTTATCTACCTCAAAATCACCCTTCTCCCCATCAAGTTATATTCATATTTTTTCAAGGTAAAGTGTTAAATTTACTGTATGATTTCATTATTAGATATGAATGTAACATTTATTTAGACTGTGCTATCCTTTGTGTTAGGCTAACTACTAAATTTTTTTCGATTTCGAGTAGTAATCTGCACCTAACCCTATTTTCTCCATAAGCCCTGTTATTTCTATTACGCAAATTTGTATAACACGATGTTTTACAAGAACACAACTATCGCGTTATAGCAGAACTGACTGTAGTCACAATGAAGTTTACCATAACAATTATCCATAAGAGAGAACACACTTTGTTGTACAGTATATCTATTTATAATGGGTGACCAAAAGTCCAGCTGCTCATATAGATGAAAACTTGTTTGCATGTTATATTATTTTTTCATCTTTGTGCTAGTTTTTATCACGAGAAGCTTATGTTAGCCACTTTGTGCTAGTTTTTATCACGAGAAGCTTATGTTAGCCATATCACTGTCAGCATTGTTGTTAGGTTTTTGTCATTTTTATGAGATAATTTCTAGAGTAACAGTACATGAGGGCTCTAGCATACAAATCTGCCCATGGTAACCATCTAAAATATGCTCTCTATCTCCATTTCCTCAACATTTTTTTAAAATGTATCAACTTCAATCGAGGCCACAGCAGGAAAAGTTAGATTCATTTTTCATACAGTATATCCCAAGGTTCGATTGGGGAGTCATGGTGGGGATATTCATTTGTTTGTACTTCAAGACAAATTTATTTCATATGGAAAAATGCATTTTATGTTGCATTTAACTACATCAAGAGTCATTATTGGCCATGTTGGTTTAAGTGTACCCAAGCATAAAATGGTTTGGATTTGATCTGGAATGTTACACTGCCTCCTCTGACTAGTAACTAGTTCAACTAATATCTAGACCAATTCAATGGGTTTTGGAAAAAAAAATCATCTTAATAAATTTGATACTGTAATAGAAAAATGTTTGATAAAGGGGTAAGATCTTAGTTAATTTCAAAACACATCTGTAAATCATTTCATCACCCCGTGTCAGTTTAGTTTGTCTAGTTTATTAATGATTTACAATACCTGTATAAGCCACTGACCCCTTGATCTCTATTCTCTCCAAATCCTCTTTTAAGTAAAATTTTATTTTATTTTGTTTTGCTCTTAGCTTATTTGTTTTATTTAAATTTGTTTCAAGAGCCTCATTGATTGTCCAGCCACCTCTCAATTTACATGATAGTTAAGTTCTTAAAAATGGTCGAGTAGTTCAAAACCGTGTAAATAAAAAATATTATCCCATGATGAATGATGTAAAAGATTGAGGTTAGGTTTTTTTATTAATGATTGTACTCTACTTAATATTTAAACAATGAAAAACTACTGTACAATCTTCTGCCAAATCTTATTAAATTTTACTAAGTGACAGTAGAAACTGAGACAAAGGTAATTCTGCCACTTACATTGACTGCTTCTTCTGATTGCATGCTGGTGGTGGAGGTGAGGGGACTGGAAGAGTTATTGAGGAAGGGGATTATCTGTGTCAGATGACCAGGTTGGTGAAGGTGGTGATGATGCTTGAGCGGGTAAGAGATGCAGCTGGCCTCTGACACCGATAGATGTTAGTGGCTTGTCGTCCTTATGATTTATGTATTTATTTATTATTATTTATTTTTTATTAATTAATTTATTTTGTAATGAATGCAATGTCAGCTGCGAGGCTTTCATTGTCTTCCCATGAGGGATATCTTTATAGCAGTTGATGTCTGCTAGAACATTTTGGGACTTCCAGTCATTTTGATGTGGTAACTGCAACACTTCTGAAAGTTCACAAACCACCTAGAACTTGCATTTAATGCCATCACTTCTCCATCTTCTTCTGATGCTAAGTCCTCATAAATGCTTTGTGCCTTGCTTGTATCACAAGAATGCTTATGGGAACGTTTTGCTGGTTTTGATGCACAATCCATGTGCTTAACATCCTTTCCACTTTTTTCATAATAGAGCTTCAAGATTATGATGTCTTAGTTGCAATCAATGAGGTTCCATATTGGGCATTTTCATTTTTGAAGCATTATTATGTATCATGCACAGTGTCAACTCACAAAGGCCAAACACACACTTGTTATCAACTGTGTGTTACCTCCATCATAGCAGTTAATTATGTCCATTTTCACATCACTGGTTAAGGCTTTTTGCTATTTTTGGGGGCACACTGGCACCCTTGGCACTCAGTCATGATACAAGGGTTAGAGTCTATTGCTACAGCAAGAACATGTACAAACCATACACACAAATGATAATACTGTATCACATAAGATGGCTACGTAAGAACAGACTGAGTGAGGCGGGAAGCCGTGGAAGCTGCCGACACACACAGCACTGTGCTTGCAATGTCTTTTAACCGTGCTGCCAGTCCATGTTGGCGACAAACTCAGTCTTGTGACTAATTGCTTTAAACCAAAATCCCGCTCACATAAAATAAAAAAGAGTATAAATGGAACGCACTCGGTATTCCAGACATGTTAAATGATTTCACATAAAACGCGATGAGGCTATATTATGCTTTGTTTATCTTTTACTCCGTGAATGTAAAGTCTAACATCTGGGTAATTGCAATGCGAATGAAATAATGATCTCATAAAGTTGACACATTCTTATAATATTGCTCACCATTAATGACAAGCATTTTAGTGTGGAAGATGTTTGCCAGGTGGTGGTACAGTGTAATATTGCAGTTGTGTTACATGTTCATATGTTAAACAGTACACCCTTGATATACCATGACAGTTCTCAGTCCCACTCTAACATTAAATCAAGGGTATATCAAGGTTCTACTGTTTGGCATATACATTGTAAGAGGATTCATGAGGGGGGCCCATACTACCTCAGGTTAGGATATCACTGATCAGTGGACTCTGCACTTTAGTTCCTAATGATTCTTACCTAAAAAGCTCATCAGTATATCTAAATAGACATCTCAGGTTTGTTTGGAAGAAACTAAATCAGAGCTAAATTTCCTCAAGAAACATTGTATAGCATTTTAATGCTGGGATGTTCAGATTCTGGTAATACACATTGACATCTATAATGTGAAAGGTGGGTTTTAGTGTGGTTACGTCTTATGGTAAATTCGGTAAAAAAAAGTATCTTTACAATTCTTGTGAGAAACAAAATGACATCACGAATGAAGGTTTTTGATAAAGGCTCGTAAGGCATACTGTTATTCACCACTCTTAATGCAACGAACTAATTTTATAATTTGAATGAAATAACTAAATTAACCTACCATAATAGGTAGTAAATGTCTCACAATCACACCTACCAACCCTAATGAGACAGCAGGATTGTTCAGTTCCAAATTCATCTGACCCCTCCTGAAAGATAATTATTTTTACCGAGTGTACATGTGATTAACTTGGAAAAAAGAGAGACTGGTTATCTTTCTCAGGATCAGAGCATACAGCAAACACACACACCACTTTGTCTTTTCTATAAGCCTATTTTACTTCTTACTTATTTCTTTAAAGTGTCATCTTGATCATGATACCTTTCTCTGTGCTTGACGAATGGCTTTGTGCCACTGTTACTGAAGGTGATCTAAGTATATTGAGGGGAAGTGAAGTGGCTTAGTTTACATACATTGACACTAGTTATGTCCAGGTCATTATGTACTGTACCAAGCACTAGAAAAGGTTAGTTTAATCCATATTTTATGAGTGTTACAGATGGCAGGTCATGAGATAATTCCTGTCATTCTTATACTGAACAGTATATTGAATTTTCTTATCATTACAGTATAACCTCGGAAATTTGTAAATCACTTATATGAGTCACTCAAAACTGGTACAGGTACTGTACCTTAAAAAAAAATACTGAAAACAAAATAACTCGGCTGGTTTCATATGTGACAATGTTTCCTCTGTGGTTTTGTGAATTTCCGCTCGTAAAATGTGAACAGAATCACTAATTTAAATCTCAGGATTTAGCCAACCTCTGCCATCCTCCTGTGGTTTCTGATCATTCTCTCTTACTTACTTTCTCAGGTGTGTATATTGTGGAGGAAGTTGTCAGGTGTGTATATTGTGGAGGAAGTTGTCAAGAGTGTATATTGTGGAGGAAGTTGTCAGGTGTGTATATTGTGGAGGAAGTCTTCAGGAGTGTATATTGTGGAGGAAGTTGTCAGGTGTGTATATTGTGGAGGAAGTTGTCAAGAGTGTATATTGTGGAGGAAGTTGTCAGGTGTGTATATTGTGGAGGAAGTTGTCAAGAGTGTATATTGTGGAGGAAGTTGTCAGGTGTGTATATTGTGGAGGAAGTCTTCAGGAGTGTATATTGTGGAGGAAGTTGTCAGGTGTGTATATTCTAGAAATAGTTGTCAGGTGTATATATTCTAGAGTAATTTGTCAGGTGTGTATATTATGGAGGAAAATATCATGTGTGTTCAGCCATCTCTCAAAGGTTTGTTTATTTTTAGGTGATCAAGTCTCATATATGAAACAATTGCAGTATTTAAATTCAAAATAAGTTTAGAATACTGAATACTACCTCTTGTTTTGTTAAGACATAAAAGGCACGTTTTAGAAAATGTGTCGGCGTGCACCAGCCATAGCTTAAGAAGGAAATCCAATCATTATAAAAGTTTAAGGTTTGTTTAATTGTAGTATTGCATGAATAGTTAAAGGATCAGGTAAGTTAAAAGTAAAACCAGCTGAGAACATGGACTTATACAACAATTTTTCCAAGGATGGCTAAAGTCATAATCAAGGGATGATGGACACCCACATAGTTAGGCCATTGCAGTCAGGAGGAGAGGTGTAGGATCGATATGTTGCTCCACGTGATTAGATTCATATATTTCTTGAAATAAGGGACATGATTGATTTGTGTTATATATGCCTCTGATTATAGTCATAATGAAAAGCACAATTCTTTTTACTGAATTAACTTGAGTGTAGCTTACCTTATGATCTGAAGTCTTCCAATGAAGTAAAATCACAAGTCGTTAGCATGATGTCTCTCCCCAAACTGAAGTAACTTACTGGTTCAGACCTATTTTATATGAACTGTGAGGCTGACTCATAGACATTGTTGTGTTGGCACTTATGATGTTGATACTTTTCTGTGTATGATACCGGGAAGAGGTTGACCCCATCACACTGTGTCATGACTCTGGTTGTTGGCAAGACTCATCAGTCTCTTTGATTGTTACAAGAAAAACTGAATTGTAACTTACTTGGGAACCTTCACTACAGAAATGTTTTATCGTTTTGAGAGGAGGAACTTGTTATAAAAAACTGGAAAATTCACAAGCCCAGTTTAGTCTGGGTCCCACCAGTACTGGGTTATTCAGATTGTTTTGTACTTATATCATGTTAGGGGATAGTTGGACTAGTGTGGTGGTGTCAGGAGTTACATATTGATTGTGTGTGGATGATTATGTTCTTACTGGTTGGTTTATCATACCTGGGATAGATGGGGTACACAGCTCTCATTACTGTGCAGTACTTCATTTTAATCCGCTAAAACCCTGCCCCCATATATATATTTTGTTAGTTTATTACTTAAATGTTCAGTATTAAAAGATTGAAAATCGTATGAAAAAAATTGGAAAATATTCACCTCCAGTGCTAAGCTAATAGAGATTGACATTCTCTCCTCGCCATCAAGATAGAAAGTGGGGGTTGGGAATGTCCTGAGTCAATAGGGAACAATACATATTTTGTCAGCACTCTGCATGTAAGTAGCTAAGCCAGCTTAATTACCTTTGGGCAAGTCTTGTGTGTGAGTCATGGGGATATGGGTTTAAGCACAGTTAAGGTGACAGGAGTAGCTTCCTATTTTGAAAAAAATCTGAAAGATGAGAATGCTTCTGTATCAGTCTCCCTTCCTCCCTCAAATTAATTTTGTCCAGGTGGGCAATGAAGAGGTGGTGGATGATGGAAACAGTGTGGATTTACCCTGCCATGGCTTGATGTCTCATTCTTTGTTAAATGGATGTGTCACTACTTTCTCTTGATCTCCTTTGGTAACAGTGTCTCTCCAGTCCAGTAGCATAGAGAGAAGCCTCTGTAATTCAAACAGTGCCCAAATAGAAAAAAAGGGTCACTTTTCAAACTTTTTTTATTAATATGATGTATATGGCAGAGTGGTTTGTGTAAGCTTGCCTTTCAGAATAACTATACTTTATATTTGTTTCCAGCATAGAAAATGCCTAATCCTCAAGCTCAATAGACTTTTACTAAACATAGTTAGACAAGATTAGCCTTCCTCTCCAGTGTATACAGTGTATTTGCCAACATATAATGTCACCTGACCTTTGGTGCCCATTTGCTATTTTTCTATTCCCTTTGTTGCACTAGTACTCACCTCAGTTATTCTTCATGTGCTCAAACACCTCAGTGCTACCTCATTTCATTGTTTTCTTTCATTTATTACAAGTCATTATATGTAGAGCATTTTGGTTATAACTACTGTAGTATTCAAAACATGTAGTACCAGATAGAGAGGCTCTTATTAGCTCTACTTTTATATAAATTTCCTTCTTGAACTTATTATCTAAGCATACCATATATATACCTGTACCCTCTATATTTTACATACACACATACATACATACATACATACATACATACATACATACATACATACATACCATCCTTTGTTTTTCCCCTTAGTTTATCCATTAATTACTGTCTAATTAATATTGATATGAATCATTATTCTACCATACAGTTGTTTACTTTGCCAATACATTTTTAGAAACACATCAAAACCTCTTTTATTCACTTTTATTTTATCCGAGCCATTTTTGTTTAGTTTTGATTTTTCAACCTCATATCATCACTTTTTTATCCAGCTCCATTTCATTCGCTTTTCACATCATATATGTTCTTAGATCACCCTATTCATTACACATTCCATTCCTTGACTTGATCATTTTATCCTTAGACCTTCATCTTTACACCTTGTTGATTGATTTGGTATTTAAGTATTTTCAGTAATTATATAACATTGAATGAGTTATGTAACAAGAGAGAGAGAGTGAGGTAGAATGGTCAGGCATTACCAGCAGCATAAGTGATGACAGGAAGAGTTCAAATAATAACCCATTTGTACAGTTTATAGTTGACACATACTTTTTCTTGTACTGTAATTATGCTGTTATGCAATATCTATGGTACTGTTTCTTTAGAGTTGGTGTTAATGTTAATGCTGATACTGTAATGAGAAACTGAATTAGTTTTTGTCATTATATCATTGAGCATATAATGTATAACTAACTTATATTGGGCATATGAGTTCGGTTTCTCTAAAGGAAACAAGTAGCTGAAAATAAGGCTGTAATTTTGAATTCATAGAGGAAATATGATGCATCTCAGCCTTGCACCACATACTTAAAGTTTGAATGTGATAAGAAAAAAATACAGTTAGATCCAGACCTAGGTTCTCAAAGGCTCGTACATTATATTTACAACCTAAATGGAGTACTGTACAGGTGTCCATCAATTTACGAAAGGGTTCTGTTCCAGAAAACCATTTATAAATCGATCCCTGCTTGTACTGTTTGCATCTAACTGCCTTGGTTAAGCTATAATACAAAAATGTAAGGAGAGAGTTTTCATAGTTGTTCTGAGGCTGATCTGTAACTAAATGTATTTCCCTTTGCCATGTTACAAGAGGAAATGAATGTACAAATCTGTGTTCCTCTGGGCCCAGGATGGGAGGTGTGTGTGTTTCTTTACTCAATAATTTGGAGGTTTAATATAAAACTGAAAATTTGTCTTGTACAAAATGATTTACTGTACTTGTGTCCTGTGGAATAGTAATATTTAAGGTACTTTGGGAGGTAATGAAAATTTCATTATGACTTGTGGTATTTGTTTTTGTTATTGTTAATGATGAGTAAGTTATACCATTTCTCTCACCAGCTTTTGTTATAGTTTATGTGCAATAATATATAGCAATATCCCAGTACTATATTGTTAAAATCTTAAAAGAGATGATTTCACCATAGATGATTATTAGGGGGACATTATGTTCATTACGAATATTAGGGTTGAACAAAAGTCTCATCTCTCTCACTAGAATTTTTTTTATTCTACATTATGACACTGATGTTTCTATAACAAACTTGAGTAATAAAATGTGAAGAACATTGTGGCCAAAGGTAGATTATTTGTAGAAAATGATATACATACAAGATCTGGTAAACTGGTTTCTTGATTATCTCAATATACCATAGCTTTGATGTTTTTGTTGGGATACCTTATACTATATAAAGGTTGGCAAGAAATAGCTTGACACTTTAAACCTATATAAATTCTGCCATTATGATCATACAAGATACACAATACTGTACTGTATATTGTACATACTGCACAGTATACATTTACATACTACACATCTTGCATAATACATAACATACACATGTGAAAAATATATGCAGTCGAAGTACACACATTGTTTTTACTCAGGCAGCTGCTTGTTATGTGTCGGTTATATCTCGCCCACCCTGGATAGTACAGTAAATAAATTATATGATTATTAACAAAGACATTAAAGTTTATTACCCAGGATAGTTACATAAACTGGTTCATAGTATTAGATAAATAAAAGTTTTGCTGGACAAGCCTTCAGTGATAAGTTAATCAGGCTTTCAGTGTGTTAAAACCTCTATTTATTGGTAACTGAATTAATAAGGGCTGTTTTATATAAAGAAAGTGCTTTATAACTCAAAGGGAGCTCTAGGTGCTTCATCACTTTCATGGGGAAAATTTTCACCAAGTCTTTCCAAATGATGGAAGCATTGAGCACAGTAACTGCATTTACATTTTACATCAAAAGTAACTTTATTTACAAGTTAAAGCACAAAGTAAAATAAATTTCAAGTTACAGCACAAAGTACATTATTTAAAAATTATAGCACTAAAGTAGCATCATTTAAAAGTTACACCATTGAGTAACATTATTTACAAGTTACATTAGAGGTGCTGAGTTTGATGTAACTTCTTTTTGGCTTCTTGTACAACATTTGAAATCTCAAGAGTTATTTGCACCATACAGTGTAGCTAGGGTCTGATAGATGGTTGATAAGCTTAGTATGTGCTGTTCTTTAATTGGTGTTTGTGTGTGTCAGGTCAAAGAAATTTGAATCCTCAGTGAATTGAAGACATTTATTTTGAAGCTGGAGTCTGTTTGTACTGTATGTGGCCAATGTGCGGCAAATCAGCCACTCATCCTCATAGGATTTGTAGGTGTGTTCATGTCCATTGTTGTTGATAATAAGTACCAAGGTTTGAATAAATGAAATAGAAGTTTGTATTAAATAAATGAAATAGAAGATTGTATTAGATGCAGTCTGTGCACAATTTGATTAGCATTATTTCCAGGAAACATTAGCTGTTCTTGTTATTGCACATTATACTTAAGGTTTTTGTACAGTTATATGATAATTTTAAGATTTTTTTTACAAATTATTTATAAAATTAATATGTGAAATATTTTCCTCAAGTGTTTTATCATTGCTGCGTCAATCAATCATTTATAAGTATTTAGAAGTTGGATTATGTTATGTTGTAAGGTTACACTGATATAATGTTATGTTTGTATACCCGTGTCTTTATGTTCAGGAGAACACAGTAGTTGTGTAGCACACTAACAGAGCCTGAATTACAGACAAAGCATTTTTGACATATTTTGGTGTTGTCCTTTATATGCACCACAGAATTATGTAAAAATGTTTTATTACCAATGAAAAGGTGTTCATTTGTGTCCTGGTGTTTATTTATTATTATTTTAAGTTTCAAGTGATGTTGTGATTGGAATTGTTGACTGGTTGTGTTTCCTGAATATTACTCAGTGTCGTCACCCAGTTTTTATTTGTTTGTTGATGGCTGCACCTCATTCTTTAGATACACAAGCCTGGTTTGACCTACCAATGCAATATTACTGATCCAGTTTACCTATCAGGAATCTAACAGTTCTTAGGATCCAGTCCCACTTTGGCACTAAGCATCTAGTGATGCTTATCATGAACAAAATGGTTTAACGATGTGAGCCTTCAATCCTAGCCATTTTCACAAGCCACTTGTGCTGTATCTATTGTATGGGGTCATCAGTACAAGGCTGCTTTAATTATATGTGAAAATGCAGGCATTATAAGGATATATTAAATATGAATGATTTTCAGTGGAATTTAGAAAACAGCTGCTGTCACACAAGGTAAAATATAATTTTAATATAGCCTTCTCCTTGAACACTTCTGCTATCAAATAAGGATTGTTATTTTGAAATTAAATTTCAGGATTACTTTTGTTAATGTTCTTTTGTTTATATAATGTGTTATACCATGGGCAGTGCCACAGATCTTTTTGTAAATATATATTTTTATTCAGGTTTATTTGACTTTAATTTTATGACCTAAAATGGTAGGTCATTCATTAAGTGACTTGTGAAATACCTGAGCCTGAACATCTCACACTTCCTGGCAGAGCCTATTTTACTAAAGGGGCTGTAGCATTCTGAAGCAGGGACACTGTAAAGTCACCTCAGTGTACAGTACAAACAATTCCTCACCTAGCAGGACAAGGGTTAATGAAGTAGATACAATTCTGATCCCATTATCCTTCAAAAAAATCTGTGAATTAAATACTCACTGGAATCTCCCAGCAAAAAACATGTGTCTGAAGTTCCTTCGTCACTTCTTTCAGCCTCACTTTTTTTTTTCTTCCTTAATTGACAGTGGAACTTATGCCACAAAACACAGTACTTAATTTAAAGTCCTGTAGATTAATAACTTATGAAATGAAATGATGTTTGATGCTGTTTCAACCATTTCAATTTGTTGTGATAGTGCAAATATTTTGCGGTAAACCTTCATTGCCTAATCCTTCTCTGCCAGATGTTGGTCCTACAGTTACCATATTTTACGACATATAAGATGCACTTTTTTGTCTGAAAAATGGCTAAAAAAATCAGCCTGCATCCTATATGTGAAGTTGTGATCTTCCGTAAGCTAATGAATCCCCCAGTTGCTGTCTCCAGTAGGCTAAATTCTACCTAACCCAACTCCAGAATTAAAAATATGTTATTGTTTACTTAAACGTATTATTATTATTTTTAATTACAGGGTAATTAAAAACTAATTCTTGTAAATATAAAAGCTCGATTTATAACTACAGGTTGTACCTCTCTAGTCCGGCATTCTGTGGTCCGGAAACTCCCGTGGTCCGGAACGATTTTAGTTTGTCCAATAGGTAGATAGGCAGCTTCTTTTTTTTTTTTTTTTTTTTTTACTTATCTGAATTATTATTATTATTACAGGAGTATTAACTTTTCGCCCCTCAGGCTCCAATGTGGGTCAGTGGCCTATGCCCGGGTGGGCTAATCCCCGTAAAAAAAATAACACCAAAGCCGCGAGAAATTAAGGTTTGTTTACATCCGGCAGTTCGGCTGCTCTCTCTCTCTGCTTGTCTATACAGAGTACAACATTTAACCCTTCAATATATATGAGCAGTAAATAAGTGTTGCTTTCATATTCTTATGTAGAGTAATGCCGATATGTTTTCACATGTGCGCACTTACATACGCGCAGTCTCACTTTTTTTTTACCATTAATGGTTAGCTACTTATATTGTTCCATTTATTAACATTAAATAACATTACAGGTACTTCAAACAACCATATTAATTTTTTTACATTAATTTTACTACAACTGCAATCAGGGTCTTATTTTCTTCAGTTTTATATGTAGAACCAATCAGTCACTGGTTTTGTAAGCTTTAACAAAAACAATGCCGGCAGCCGTCTCGTCTCTCATGTGTTTTAATATTCCACGTATTATTAATAAATTGTACAGTTGTACCCCGCTTAACGAGGTCAATTGAACCCACAGGGTACCGCGTTAAGTGAACAACAGAACATATGGGATTAATTCCAATAGAGACTGGCCCGACCCCCAAACTCCACTTTTTGACGACACACAACTATGTTGTAGTAAAAATATTATCTTAACTTTATGATGGTATGCACACACAATTAATAATTAAGAGAAATATCAATAATATTAGGTTTTTTAACACTTACATTAGTTGAAAAGATGGCTGGGCACACGGGGATGGGGGGTTGGTTCCAAGGCAGAGGGCAGATTATTGGCCCTCACCTGTATCACTTGTATCAATTGTATCACTATCCACCACAGAGGCTTGCAGGGCCTCTTTGTCAAACCCCTCAAAGTCCATATAAGTCCATATCCTCACTATAATTATCACTATCACTGACTTGGGCCGGCTGTGGTGGGTGGCGGGTGAAGAACTCGGTAATGTTTTGATGACTGGGCGACCTTGTGCGAATCGTGCCCGCGCCGCTTCCCGCGTATATGAGTAGATGAACCGCGTTAAGTGAAAGTTCGGTTCTGGCGAAACACCGCGTATATGAGAAATCGCGTTAAGTGAAACCGCGTTAAGCGGGGTACAACTGTATTGTTAATTTTGCACACACAAACATCAATTCAATAAAGACAAATTTAGAAACATTAATTAAAATATATATGAACAGTAAATAAGTGTTGCTTTCATATTCTTATGTAAAGTAATGACAATTTGTTTTCACGTGTGCGCACTTACATACGCGATCTCTCTTTTTTCTTTACCATTATCGTTAGCTACTTCTATTGTTCCATTTATTAATATTAAATAACATTACTTAAAACAACCATATTAATTTTACTACAGCTACAACCAAGGTCTTATTTTCTTCAGTTTTATATGTAGAACCAGTCAGTCACTGGTTTTTGTAATCAACGAAAACAATGCTGTCTCATTTCCTCGTGTTTTAATATTCTACGTATTATTAATGAATTGTATTGCTCATTTTGCACACACAAACATTAATTCGATCAAAAAAACTTTCAGTAATAAACAATAATGAATCTTTTGTACATAAGAGAAATGACGCTGTTTACAGATTGTGCCCGTCATCTGAACATTGGTGGGCCGTTCAGACCCGTCGAAATTCGAGTTTCCGCCGTCAAAATTTTTAAATGTGTTGTTTTTTTGTGTGTTCAAATAGAAAACGTCGAATTAAAACCTCGCGAAATTTGAGAAGCTACTGTACGACATTTAACCCTTCAATACGTCTTCAAAGAGACCATGAAGCAGAGAAAGTGGTGCTAGTGCTTCCAAGCCAAGTCACTATCTATCCAGGAAAAGGGTAAATTTCCATGGTCCGGAAATTTCCATGGTCCGACACCGGTCAGGTCCCGAGGTTGCCGGACTAGAGAGGTACAACCTGTACTGTACTGTACTGATGACGATAACCTGAGATGATTGCTGTCCATACGGCAGACACCAAACTCTTCAGAGGTAGCTAAGCAGTAATCATTTCTGAGCTCTTACAAGCATTACAATCTATTAATGCCATATCTGCAACATTTATTTTTAAATTACAAATATGTGATACAAATGAAGATTTACTTATACAGGTAACTTTCTTTTCACATTTGTGTCTGTTAACATCACTGGCAGCACTGTAGCCAGGTTAGACCCATTACTATAACCACCAGGCTGCTGGTGTTACAGTTGTTTTTCATCTCGTATTTTTGGGAAGATATACGTAACTTTCTTCATTTATTTTTACCGAGTTACATGCACACACACCATCCTACATACATATTATGAAAAGGTAAAAGAAATAATTGTCCTAAGGGGAAAAATGTAAAGGGAATGTATATTTCTTTACCCATGAGTTAGCTGGCTAGCTCAGTGGGAGAGCGGATGGAGGTGGGACGTGGGGAGAGCGTTGCTAGGGAATCGGTGTAGGGGGTGTCTGCATTGCCATGGTGAGCCAGGGACTACAGTGAACCCTCAAAGATCTGGACTAAAAGGGGGACCACCTTTCCAGAAAAGTCGAATGTCCTGATTTTCTGGCGATTAATAAATGATAAAAGAAACACCAAAAATACAGTACAGGGGGGCCCCATGTTTTGTGTGTGTGTGTACACACACACAAAACACATACAAATAATAATGGAAAAATACTCTCACAAATAATCAGAAACAAATTTATTAAAAATGTGACAGTTTACCCTCAAGTCTGTGCTCTATTACTTTATTAATAGAGCACAGACTTGAGGGCATACTGTCACATTTTTAATAAATTTGTTTCTGATTGTGAGAGGATTTTCCTATTATTATTTATTTGCATGTGGTTTGTGTGTGTGTCCACACACACACACATTTACTTTGCAGGTAAAGGAAATTACCGTATATATACCAGGCATTTACCTATGATAACATAATAAGAAACATTGTATCATTACTAGAGTGAATGAAATAATATTCCCACAAACAACAATTGTCAACTCTGTTTGTGTTTCCCACCTCCTTGGGCACCTGCATCCAAGCAACCAATGGGTCAAGCAGCGCCCACAGGCCTAAAATGTTCTTAGCTCTGGTTTGGAAATGTTTCTTAGGGAAACTTCTAGGAGGCTTCTTAGCCCAGAACCCCCAAAATTTTTGTCTAGATCTTCCGAAATCCGGATTTCCCGGGTCTGAATCTTCGAGGGTTTACTGTACAGTTATATGCAAATTGCAACTGTGTTAGACTTTCATTTGGCTTTTATTTACTGGTTTGGCAATACAGTATTTTTTGTTGCACCTTTTTATTGGTATTATTTTTATTTATTCTCAAATTTACTGGTACTGTTATATTATTTTAGAAAACTATGGCTTCAGGTGGAAAATACACAAAAATGTCTTCCTAAATACTCCATTGACACGACAATCAAGTATTTTGGGGGTTATCTGTTTTGTCTCTTACAGTATTGTGTGGCTCCCCATTACTTTTAGTTGTGTTTTAAGTCTCTGTACAATAGTTACTCATTTCTGTTGCATATACTGTATCTTAATTCTGTTCATTTTGCCATTGGTCAGGTCAATCTGCTGTGCATGAATTAATGGTTTCAAAATATTTTTTATATGTACAGTATAGTCTGCATTTACGTGGATTTGGTTTACGCGTTTGGTCATTTACGCCGTGCCTTGCCAGAATGTGAATGCTTTAATTACTCGGTAAATTTGGTCATTTACGCGGAGAGCAGCCGGAGGTCCAGACGCTCCACTCCATTTTTTATTCACGCGGTCCATTCTCGACCATTCGCGGAAAGCGGCGCAGTGCGGGGTGCGCATTAGGTCGCTGTTGCGTTATCGCTGACGTCATATGACGTATCGGACTGTGATTGGGCCACGCATCCTTACCACCCATGCATTCCCTCCGCCGCTAGCTGTGTTTGGTCTAATGTTATATGACGTGGCCTGGCACGGGAGGGAGCGCCTGACCCAGCCGCGTCAGTCTCATTGTTCTCAGTCACCGCGTATAATGTTCTCTCTTGTGCCCGCTAATCTGTTCAACAATGGCATCCGCTGGACCCCCACCACCCCAGAAAAACCTTGATTTACCTGGACCCAGCCGCCCCAACCCCAAGAGCATAAGACGTACCCTAAGTTACAAAGTTTAGTACAAGATCGTGCAAGAATTAGAGAAAGGAACAAGACAAGTTGATTTGGCGTGCCAGCGTGGCTGAACGAATCTACGGTCCGGACGATCAAGAAGGATGCTGCCAAGATTAAAGAACACATGAGCATCACAAAGTCTGCAGGTGCTTCAATGGTGAAGTACTGTTAGAATAAGGTGCTGCTCAAGACTGAGAACTTGCTGGTGAGCTACTTAATTCGTCAGGCAAGACGTAACATGGCTGTGGACACACGGGCAGTGCAGGACTACGCACGTGAACTGTACACATCAGTGGTGCGCAAGATGGGAATTGCAGAGCCCAAACCCTTCACTGCTTCCTCTGGGTGGCTACAAGGGTTGAAGAAAAGGAACAAGATTACCAACATTAACATTGTTGATGAAGGAACTAGTGCTAACCGTGCTGCCGCCATGGATTTTCCTTCATTCTTACGAGAAGCTATGGAGGAAGGACAGTACACAGACGACCAGGTGTTCAACATGGATGAATCCTGTCTGTTTTGGAAAAAATTACCTTCCAAGACCTTCGTTGTCTAGTCTGCCAGCAAGTGACAGGGCCGGAAATTGCAGAAGGAGCGCATCACCGTCCTGTATACCACCAATGCCTCCGGTACCTGTAAGCTCAAGTTGTCGGTGATCCACACAGCCCGCAAGCTGCACTCCTACAAGAACATGGACATGACCAAGCTAAATGTCCACTGGCTAACCTCACGTAAGGCATGGATGTTCACTGGTCTGTCCCTCTCCTGGTTTTACAACTGTTTCGTTCCTGACGTCAAGAAATTCTGCGCGCAAAATAATGTGCCATTCAACATTTTGTTGCTGCTTGACAACGCACCAGGAAACTCGCCCCTACTGTTGGATCGTCACCCCAATGTAAAAGTGATCTTCCTTCCTCCCAACACTACGTCGTTAATCCAGCCCATGGACCAGGAGTTGATATGCAATGTTAAGGCTGCATTCTCTGCAAAGAAGTTTAAGCTCTTGAACGACTGTACCAACACCAAGGATGAGTTGCGTAACCTTCTGAGTGGCACAGATAGCGAGAGCGACGACAATGAGGATGCAGAACAAGAGTTGGCGGAGCATAAAGTGCGAGTTAAACAGTTTTGGAAAATGTTTAACGTAAGGAAAGTTGTTGATTTCTTGGTGGAGGCATGGGGGCAGCTGTCTGTGGCAACGATTCGTCACGTGTGGCGGCCTGTGTTGCAGGGTATCACAGGTGGGAGGCACAGTCAACCTGTGGCTGGTGAGGTTCAGTCTGTTGCAGTGGCAGTGGACCTTGCAAGAGAAGCTGCACAGTGTTACAGCTGCAGGCTTCTCCGAGACCAACTACGACGACATCATGGAGGTAATCAGGGATCCTGAGGTGACTGCCGACGAGTTGTTAGAAAACGATGACGTCAGTGAGGAGGCAGGTGGTGCGGCAGCCCGAGAACAACAGAAGTTAACTCATGGTGATGTAAAGGATGCCATGGAGTTTGCCGGTATGAAGTCTTCAATAACCTTCTAGACCAAAGTATGGAGCAGTACATCCAGATGTATCACGACCACATCAACACTAGCCGTCAGCACAACATCACTGACTTCTTTGCCTGCAACCCACCACAGCCAGCCCAAGCCAGTGATATTGACAGTGCTGACTTTAAGGGATCTGTCAGGGAGGCCCTGACAACTATGGTGGATAGTGATGGTGATTCACCTGAGGGCCAGTAATCTGTCCTCTGCCTTGGAACCAGCCCCCATCCTCGTATGCCGACCCATCTCTCCTACTAACGTAAGTGTTAGACCTTGATTTTTCTTTTCCCTGGTACAGTATATTATTCTCTTATTGATATTTCTCGTCTATATTATGGTCAACACCATTGCCGCTCGGCAGCGGCTTCAGCTATATGCCGGAGTGCGGTGCTAGAGAGCCCACTCTCCCTTGATGTGTTCCCCGGGCTCGCCACTCCCTTGGATCTTAATCTCTCTGTATTAACGACATCCTACCTCGGATATCTTGCTTGCAGGCAGCTATCGATACTCGATAGCTGCAACACACACACACACACACACACAGTGCCTGAGAGTCGATGAACAGCGAGTCAGTAGTGGTCTAAAATCACATACAAAATATCACACAGGTCTGGCAAGGGAATGCACGGATGATTCAACACAAAAGATATCTAGTTACATTAGAATATATTATCACTTGGGACAGTTTAGAACCCCCACCATATGAGCTATGATTGGATTCTTGTTCTTTATATGCATTAACGTCGGCCTTTGGGTTGTATTCAAGAACGTGGAGCATAGGAATGTTCTTGAAAATAGGGAGGGTACCTTAAGAGCAAGCCCTATGAAAAAATTCATTTATAATTTATACATTTACTAGCATCTATATGTATTATGTGTTTGAATGTACTGCAATAATAAATTATAAATATATTTTTATAATAAGGAGAAATTTTGGCCAATTTTTATGAATGTCACTGGTATTTATAAAACTATATTATTTATCAAATCAATTTAATTTACAACTCTCTTACCAATCATTCAGATAATTGTTGGATGTTTTAAGTTGCAATTTTTTGGTACTATACTAGACATCTATTTGGGAACACTAATATATATTTCCTTGGGCATTATTGATCTGAAATGAATCGGCATTACATACTTTTGTACATCAGGAAATGTGCTGAGGATGTCATCTTCCAAAATTCCAAAATGCTGAACCAAAATTTATTTTATTCACCAGGATGAATGGTCTGCACTCGCAAGGGTTTTTTGCAAAAATTTGAATTATTTGGGATTCTTTGTAAGAGTGAAATTAATGAAAATATGTAATAACTTGATACAACTTTATAGTTCGAGAGAGAGAGAGGAACTGCGCGTTTGTCCCGAATTTGTCGTGTACAGGAAGTGTGTATTTACCCCAGACTGGTCCCAGAGAGAGAGCCAGCCTTCTCACTGGGGTAAATACACTCATCCTGTCCAAGAGTAAATGTAAAATGTATGTAATTAGTAACAGTTAGACGTGTAAAACTGCAAATAACTGTACAGTATACAGTATATGAGGGGTTTTTTTCTGGAATGTAGATCCAAAGTTTTGGCACCTTCACTGTATTTAAAATAATAAATGTGGCCCAGAGCCTACAAAAAGTTGGGGACCACTGGCCTACACCATTTAATTGAATTAGAAGTGACTACATTACTTAGCTGGGAATTCTTGGCTGGACAGACTGGAGGCTACGGAGCTGGCTTGTTAAGTTAGGTTAGAAAAGTCATGTACTATATCCTGATAAATGAGTCATTAGGTTTGGTTCCTTAGGTTATTCTGGTGTTTCTTTTTTGGTTAGGTTAGGTTAGGTTAGGTTAGGTTTGGTAAAAATATAATCCTCTCCAATATTTGAAACACTGCATTATTCTTAAGAAAAAAAGTTTTCTTGTAGTAAAATGTTTCCGAATACAGTACTTTACAGTAAAACTTGGTATCCTGCACACTTATTTTTTTCAGTAATAATTAGGTCAGAATGACAATTGTTTCTTCTTATGTAAAATTTAATTCAGAATCGATTTTCTTCTAGGATATTTCTTGTGCAAATTTATATTAATGGAGATATATGCATACTGATAGTAAAAAGACCGCCCTTTTCACATGTTGTCAGCCCTGGACCAAGACACATGGCTTGAGCAATCTAGAATATGCACTACACTGACAGTGATTCCCTATAGAGATGCTCTACGCTCAACAATCTTGAATACAGCCGCCTGTCTTGAGCGATGAACGTTCGCTAGTGTGTGTTGTGGTGGGGTTAGGTTTTCATGACCTCTATCCCTTTCTTAGCTGGTTTGATATTTCAGAAGTCACTTTATAAATGACCCATAGACTATAACTGGACTTGAAGATTTCATTATATGTTTATGGTCCTGATTACCCTTTGACCCACTGATTTTTCTTAATATCATCATATCATTGTGGGAAGTTCCTTTATGAATTCTAGTTCAATTAATCCAAAGTATGTTTGTGCCAATTTACAATTTATTTATCAGGAAAGTGCCTCTTTCTCACAGTGCACTAGATCCAAAAGTATGGCTGGCTGAATGCTGGCTCAGTGCTCCAGGTCCTAAGGAAAAACAGGCTCAGTGCTCCAGGTCCTAAGGAGAAACAGGCTCAGTGCTCCAGGTCCTAAGGAGAAACAGGCTCAGTGCTCCAGGTCCTAAGGAGAAACAGGCTCAGTGCTCCAGGTCCAAAGGTAAGACAGACTCTACCAGGAGGTAACTGGCTGGGTTGTCTAATAAGTCACTTACTCATCGTCTCAGCCATAAAATGGGGTTCCCTAATTCAAGCCTTGGTTTTATGAATCCCAGATAAAAAAATAAAATTTAATTGCCATTATTATTAATTTTTATCATTCATTCTTATTAAGTCTTCTCATATTTATGATTCATGATTCTGTACAGAATTTTTATTAAACTGCCAAAGGTTTCTATTATTATTTTTATTTTTTTTATATTTTTATCTTTTAGTATGAAAATTAAGAATACAGCAGTACTGTACAGTATTTGTGTCATACATATATATCTTCCAACGTTTGTCTTATCAGAAATTGTTCTGAGATTACTGCAGGGTTTTATGTTTATTATTTGTCACATACATTTAGAAATGGTGATCAGCATTTAGAGAGTAGTTTTGCCATTAATGCTGTTACATATGAGAGGCTCGGTATACCAGTGATAAACTCGCCAGGGGAATGTAAGGTAATTCTTCTAACAGATTTTGGGGGGTAAAGTGAGTTTGTCATTTGTATGCCAAGCGCCTCATGTTACCAAATTCACCGTGTCAGAGGTCAGAGGTTTTAGAATGAATGTCTTAATTAAGTTGCTATAAGAGTAAGCTGTTATCATCATTCTAGGTCAGCCTCTTATCAGGTGGGTTGAAATTTGTATTGTAGCTGTGTTGTACTGTAGTAACTTTGGTGAGACATATTACTGTGGCTCAGACATTGTGCAATAGAGATAACAAGGTTGTAAAGTATAGAAAACTTCATTAATTGAAATGGATTTGAGAAGAGCAGTTTGAAAGATTGTGCAAATTATGGTTTTTCCTCCTTTAATAAATTATTGTTTTTAAATCAGAACTAGAATAACTATCATTTGAATAGATCTCATTAATATACAGCAAATAGTTTTCTTTTCTACCATAACACCCTTCAGTAACCTGCTCCTCTTATGACACATACCTTATGGGCTGGGGGGAGGGGTGTTTAGTTCATCATGCCGTACCCCTTTTGGCAGCTCAAGAATTATCTTGCATTTATTTATCCTTAACCATCAATATCATTGCTCTTAAGACAATAGAAGCAACAACTGCCCTTTGGATGTAGAAGATATAACTAGAACAGAGCTACTTCATCAGTACACTAATACACCACTGCTATGAGCCTCCTAGACTGATCCTCCATCTTCAATGCTAAGTTAGATTTGTTCTGAAATCCAGTTTTCTAGCTAACCATGTAAAGCCACATGACTTAGAGCAGCGGTTCCCAACCTCCGGTCGCGACCCAAATCAGGGTCGCGGGGTGTCCTCAGTAGGGTCGCGAGGGGCCTTCAGACAATTTAAAAATATAGTACTTTTGCTTAACATTCAAGCTATATAATATATTATATGCCTGAGGGTCATGACACCGTATTGTTGGGAAATTTAGGGTCACAGCCAAAAAAGGTTGGGAACCACTGGCTTAGACACTTACCCTCCTCCCATAGGGTTGTGGTTACTTGGCTGGAACTGAAGATTGTACTGTGGCTTTGGAATCAGAAGAGCAGTTTGTAGTGGTGGAATGAAATATTAACTCCGTAACTCAGCTTTAATTACACATTCTGCTTCTAGAGGTCAACTGTTGCTTCTGCTTTCTTCCATGGTTGTGATGGAAAATGAGTGGGTGATTGTACAAAAAAGAGAATTCACCAGTTATCACTGGTTAAACCCTCTGATTGGGCAAGCACAGTTAAGAAACGCAACTTGAATACTGTACTTACTCAGAATCATGTTCCGTCTTTAGTATTAACAAGGCATATTCCCCTTGCTTTTCTTGGCCTACCTAGGAGGTTCCTCACTTATTATTCTAGGGTAAAAAATAAATACAGATAGACCCCGACTTACGACGGGGTTAGGGACCCAAATCCAGGTCGTAAGTCCAACATGGTCGTAAGTCCGACATAGATAAAAAAATTTTTTTTTTTTTTTTTTTAATAAAAAATCTACAATAAAATACAGTACAGTAAAAGTAATGAATAATGAGGAATGGATACAGTACAGTGAAAGTAATAAATACCTGTAATAAGGAATGGATACAGTGTGACTGAGCACTTACCTTTAATGTAGTCAGCTGAATGCACATGGGGCCCCCATAATTTTCTAATTATACATGGACACTACATTAACTGGAAACGTTTCGGTATAGAAAATGCGTGTCATTTGAAAAAATAAAAATAAAAAAATTAAAAATCTGCGGCGGTCGTAAGTCCCGACGGTCATAAGTCGTAGCAGTCGTAAGTCGGGGTCTAGCTGTAAATTACAGAACATCAGTAATACAGTTCTTGAATACGAAACATGTAATACAAATTCTTCAAAACAATTTTAAATTGTATTAAGGCCTGCTTGGACATACTGTACAGTACACCCTGCACCTTCACACTAATTCATAATGATTCTTGATGTATTAGAAGTCTAGTTTATGATATTTTTTACAACACATGTGATGTATGATGCCAAGGTGTCCATTAACTAATCAATGTCAGGGGGTTATTTGTTGTTGTAGTGAAGCTATTGCATTGATTTTATATGAATATCATTAGATGAAATACAGAACTTAGAGTTTAAACCTATGTGTTAAACGTCAAAGTAACAGCTGAAGGTCATAAAAATTTGCAGTACCTGTACTTTAGTTGCAACAGTTAGTTATGCAAATAATGTTGATTCTACTTAAATGAAGTTTGACTTTATCGTAAATACTTCTGTTCAAGGATTCTACTTCTGTAAGCTTAGAAGCTTTGAAACCCCCAGTTTAATTTCAAATTATTGGATGTCAGTACAGTACAGTACTGTACTGGTAAGTTGAAAGTTTATGAAGATAATGTGAGTGTAACATTAGAAGAGTTAGTGTAATGGTAGTTGATATCAGGTGTGGCAGCAGCTGGGTTAAAGTGAAGCATCTGCTAGGAATCCAGTTACTCGGGTGCCAATTTGACGAGTGCCGCTGGTGTGTGCATGGAAGTGCGCGACCTCTCTGAGTTATGTACAAATTATAGGTATATTTGTACAGTATCAAGCTAAATTAAAAGATTTCAGAAATGTTAACAAGTTTCAGTTTCCTTTCATAGTTGTGTTAGTGAAAATCACACAAGAGGTCTCTATGAAATATTCTGTTTCTGTGGGGAATGCAATGAATTTTAGCCGAAGAACAGGTTTTTTTCCATTGTACTGTATGTTTTCAATGAATTTGAGATACATAGTTTAGACTCTCTGAAAACTTTCCTCAGCACTCAGAAACATTTAGAGGATGTATGATAGTGTCTGTCGGTGCAAGCTGCGTAGTTTTAGACTCTAGGAAAACTTTTTCCAGTATCCAGAAAAATTCCGGGGATGAAAAAGCGTCTCATTACCGGGAAATTTATCATTCCTGGAAGAGCTCTGGACCAATTATTCCAGCTTATGGGGATATCACAGTAATGTGATGTGTTGAATCATTTAATCTTGATAAACAAGATTATAATTAAAAAATAAGTATGGCATAAAGACAAAGATGATCATTGATCTTTATTGCATCTAGAAAATGTACACAAAGCAATCTTGAGACATAGGGACATCACAATATGCTTGTGGTAGCCTTTAAAAAATTTACAGGAAGGGAGGTGGAGTGATAACCTCAAATCATAGAGAAAAAAGAGAGAGAAAGATATGGTAAGTTATACAATAAATTGGTGGTAACATGAATTAATTTATAATTGGGGGCCCAAAATATAGTGCAAATATTGAATAATGCAAAACCCAGAGTTGTTAAAAGTACCTGACTTTGTTAGTTAAGTAAAATTAATGTTACAGTGGCAAAATTTTACTCAAGTTGAAGTAAAAGTGTCCAAAGTTCAATGTACTCAAGTAGAAGTAAAAAAGTGTCTCATTCATAAAGTACTCAAGTACTGAAAGTAAAAAAGTAACAACACACTTATTAATTATCTCAAATATAAAAAAAAGGCACAGAAAATTTTAGAAAATTAGTTAACTAAATACAAAAATAAAAGATAATACACATGTTTAATTGCAAATCTTTCTGTTGAACTCGATCAATAAATGATTCTCGAAATTAAGGTTGCCCAATCAGGATCTCTTGGGCCCAAATATAAGCCCAGCATGACCTATCAAAAGAGAATGCACTCAGCTGCTCTTTGTTATGTATGAACCAAGCTACGTCACATACCTGGGAACAATGATTATTGTCACTTGTCATGACTCTTACAACTCTGTATTATAATCCCATCCTCGTTGCCAATTTGTTATGTACAGTAGGCTCTCACCAATAACGACTTCCACAATAACGTTTTCGACAATAACAGTAAGTTACAATAGATACCCATTTTCGATAATAACGTCTGGACTCTCTTGAATAACGGAGATGTTGCGGGAAGCGTCCGAGCGCATCAAAGATAGCATTGTTTGCCGCCATGTTGATGACGTAGTTGTCCGCTCCTCCTCACTCTCACACATGCTCGGTGGAATACAGTGCTGCACCCACTTGTGTGATTTTCGCCTCTATAACCAGTGCCGAGACGAAGAGACAGCAGCCAGCAGAGTTAATGAACCAATTGTTGGAAACCGTCCGCAGTATCCCAGCCCCAGGATTTCAAGAAATGACTCGGGAAGATTTAGAAGAACTGATGCAAGATGGTAACACAAATGATGTCGAGGATCTCCTGGAGGATGAAGAAGGTGGTGAGAGTGGTGATGCAGCGAGTGATGCAGGGGAGACTGAGCAGAGGAAAGTGACGACACAGAAGCTGTCACTCTTATTGGGTGTCTGTACCAGCCTTCAAGAGATGATCCAAGACATTGAGATTGACTCAGGTGAAAGGGAGCAAATGATTGGATTTGTAAAATCTATTTCAAGAAAATACCAGAAGCAGTACAACGAGCGAGTGAATGCCCAGCAGCATTCACTCATCACTCACTTTTTTTCACAAAGCCGGCCAGCCGAGGAAGA